AAAGTGACCCGAAAAACTGCGCTAACTCGGTAACCCATGGCCCGAGTTTAACGAAACTTGTTTTATTCTGTTTCTATTCCCATTTCTCATATTCTATTTATATTTCTATTCTCATATTTCGTGCCATTTTTATGAATTTAATTACAGACAAGCATACAAACAAACAATCTCAGAGTTTGAGTAGTATATAGATTCATGAACTGGCTCTGAAGATTGAATGCACATATATATATATATGCATTCAATTTGTTTTAACGGATTATTCATGAACTGACTCTGAGTATATATATATATATATATACACATATTCAATTTGTTTTAATGACTTATCCATGAACTGGCTCTGACGAAGTTTAAGAAACATTTTATTTGTGTTTGTTTAACACCTTTCGTTTTTTTAGAAATCCAAATTTTCCTTTTCATCGCCGTGATCTAGCTGAAGGGAAACTAATTAATCGCTTTGATCGCATCGAATGGCCACTATATGACGCTCTCCAACAAAAGTACCTTATCATTGGTAAGATCTTGAAAGGTTTTCTATGATGTACGATCATTTGGTGCCTGATGTCCTTTTTATTTATAAATTGACCAAATTTATATCTCAAATAAATACTGGATAGAGTCTCATCTATTTTGACATCGATGTAAACTTTTTATGCTCTTGATTATTTCATGATCAAAGACAATGTGTTATCATCCTAAGTTTTCATGTAATAGATCAAGATATATTTACATGATGACTCTACCCACTCTTTAACCCTCGAAGGATAAGGTGACATTAAAGGCAATAAACTGGTCCAGTCTCAGATTTACTATCAAAATATTGTCATACAAATCGTCATATAGAGACAAATAATTAATCAAATATTCATAGATCTGACATCAGTCTTTTCAGACTTATGACATCATAATAACCGACATCCCACACGCTCATTAAATCAGGGGGTATAAGTGGGCTGTAATCATTTTGGCGGTTCAATATTTCCACTAATCTCTTGAAACTAGGGCTTTAAATAATTCTTATGAATTACACAACATCATGCATTACGTTTAATGACTATGTACTGTAGTTTTCTTGAGAGAAAGAGAGTTTTTCTTAAAACGTCCTGGAAAACTGTAAGAAACATCATGGGACGTCTTTCTACACCAGTAAACTTGTCTAAGCCTTCGTGTTGACGAAGAACCCACCTAATATATTAACATGTGTGTGTAAAGCCATTGTAATTCAAGATTCAAAGTTAAAATTGGCAAAAAAGGGATGCATTGCAGGTTATTAGAGCTATCGAAGGCTTAATGAGACAGCGATTTTTACTCTATTTTGATAGTAGTAGGATAGTTATTTTAGTTTCTTAAAAATTCTTATTGAATCAGTTGCTTCAAAGAACTTGGTGCGTCATCACGAGGTATCACTTCTACGTTGTTCTTCATCTTCTTAACTTGTATTCCTCCAGTGTTTGGTTAACAGACTGTTTAAATCTCTCTGTGTGGGGTGGTTCTGCGAAACCTTTGGATATTGCAAAACACAAAGATTGCAGCATATATGCGAATGGATACGGGCACCAACTAAACCTTGATGGTTCTAGTAGGAAGTTGGTTATTAAAAGACCTATTTTATCATGCAATCAATCTAATACCGAGTAAGATGTCTTAGAAACTATTATCCTCCTGTAATTATTGTCCCCAAATATTTTGAAAATATCTATCACCTGTCTGAAGGACAAGTTTGTTTTTAGCTTAAATCAAAATATAATAACAGCTGCAGTATTGTCCATGCTCTGTGTTCCTTAGATGTGATTCAATTAGATCATGTATAGAAATGAAATAATCTATATTCCACCCAAACCAGACCACAGTATCTTCATCAAGATATGGACTGCTACTGGCCTCCTACAGTGTTTGTAGAAGTTAAGTCTATTGCATCATGAACCTCAGTATCACTAAAACCATTACATCAGGATACAAATACCAACCCAAAAGTATTCAAGACAACAAATGACGCCTTTAGGACCAGAATAAGTGATATTCAAACTCAAAACAGACATTCTGGCATCTTTTGTTTACACCTTTAAACCATATGACATAGTGAAAAAGTCTGACCAGCTGACTCAAGAATAATATGCTTTAATTTTTAACCCACGTCTCTGTTCTTCTTCCCTGTTATTTTCATTCTCATCAGAATGAACATTATATACGATAAGTATCTTTATAGAAACTATTGCGTCTATTCCAAATGAAGGATTTTGCATTTAGTATTACGAGATCTGAGAAGTAAGTTTGATTATTTGACATTTTGACACAGTAAATTCACCATCCCCACTAATATCTATTAGTACCAAACCGTTTATTGCGAATTGGGACAGTGTAATTTACACAGCAGTACTTGTACAATGAAAGGGACACTTTAACATAGTGCAGTGTAGATCTATAGTAATATATTCTGGCAGGAATCCAACTGAAATACTGGGATCAATATTTTACATAAATATGTTTTTTGTTTTTTTTTCAGAATTCAGAAGTCATACAGTCTCTGACTTTGAAACTGTTATGAGGCTGGGCTTAATAATAATTTCCCATTAAATACTGGTTCTGATGGCATATGCAAATAACAATGATTTTAATGTTAATGAATGTATAAATGTTGTCTTAACAGACACACATGGATGCTTTTACTATTCATATCACTGCAAGACTTCACAGATAAGGGCATAAACATCAGCAGTAAGGGCACGACAAGCTCATTCTAACATATCAGCATAGTCAGTAATAACATTCAGTCATCTGTAAAAAAAGTAATATTCATAGTATAATTATGTTATTGGTATAGCTCTAACAACCAACTGAAACTTTTTTTACTCATTTCGACTTTGAACCTTGAACTGCAATGGGTCTAGACATATATATATAGAGAGAGAGAATTCGGGGTTTCTGGATATATAGTCTCGTTGAAAAGAAGACAAAATTAAACTCTCTTCAAATTAATCTTAATAAATATAGAACTGTTGCAGGCTTATTTCTAAAAATCGTTTTTCTCATCATCACCAGGTTTAGACAGTTTTTGATATGGAAAAACGCCACGTGACATGACGCTTCTAATAATTCTCAAGAATCACTTTCTTCACGCATGAATCACAATATATAATTGTGAAGTTTAATTCACTATGTTATGTAATTCTTAAGAATCATATCAAGCCTAAGATTAAGAGGATTGGTGTCAAAACTGAGCAACCACAGAAACTACAACCCACGTGTACCCTTGTTTTAAAGTGCTTCTGGGGTGAAACTTTGTAAAAATATAATGTCATGGTATGATTATTTTTGCGACAGTATTTTGAAAGTGACCCGAGGTTAGAACATTTTGGTTCCTTATTTCATCTTGTCCTCTTTGACTTCTTTCCATACCATTCACTACCGGTGAGGTCCACATACTGCATCATGATAAATGTTATGTATTTTGCCGTTTCAACACTTAGTAAAAAAAATCTGATATAAAATGGATGTAATCACTTAGTTTCTATGCGAAATAGACAGGGACCACAACAGTAATTAATGGGATTCATTGGAATATTATGGTAGTTTTACTTAATATAAACTGATATAAAATGGGTGTAATCACTAAGTTTCTATGCGAAATATACAGGGACCACAACAGTAATTAATGGGATTCATTAGAATATTATGGTAGTTTTGCATGCCACATATGTTATTAGAGACTCTGTAACAAGTAAAATGATAGACCCAAAAGCAATTTTCTGCATAAATAATTCATAAAAACGTTCCCAATCTTAGGTAATCTTTGGTATAAAATGGACATAACAGCTACTTATATAGATTATCCTTCTCAACAATTAGAAATAAGATTCTTTTAAGGTCTTTAAAGCTTACGTAATGGAATAAATGAATGGTCAGTGAACTTGATTAAAATAAAATAATAATAATAATAATTAACTAATGAGTATTAAAAATAGAATGATTGTATTATTCGTAGCACCTAGACCACTACTATGTCTGTTGTATCTGAGTCAACCCTATGAGCCTTGGTATTGGACGAAAGGCTTCGTCGGCACTCGATATGATAGATATATAGTGTGGTTTACATAACATATTCTATTTTGCTGTTACTCATGGGTTCTTAAAATTAACATGTCTTATATAATGTTTTAAAAAAATACTTAATCTTTTACGAAAGTATTAAACATTAACTTGATAAGAATTTGATGTATTACAGATTACTAAAGGAGTTTTTTGTGAAAAGTAATTTTTCGAAGTTTGGTTTATTGAAAAATTGTTTGTGTTTTTTGTTTTTTTTTCATTTTCCAAAACCAGACCATTAAAGATACAAACAAGAATTGTATGACATCTCTTAGTTATATATTTATTTATATCGGCACTTATGTATAATGTTACACTAATAAATATACATCGTTAAAATCAATACACGCTTAAAATCATTTCAAAATAATTACTCTACATGTTTCGACATGTCACACAGATTGTCGAGGATTCGTTTAAATACTGGTCGCAATCCAGAAACCAGTTATGCATTTTTTTCTAGGAATGAAACCGAAAGTTCGTGACCACTACCACGCCCACCGCATGTCGCTATGGCTTCATCTTATTCCGAAGCTGGACAGAAATGACATTGGTGTCCCGGCCTATCATCATCTTCTAGATGACCATGATAACGCAAATTTGTACGACGGCATCGTTCGACATGTGGTAATTCCTACCAGTTTTTCATTAACCACAACAACTATCCCCATACCTCCAAGATTCCCTATTCCAACTTTATCTGAGGTGTGGAATATCAGCGAAAGCACTGAGCCGACTGCAAATGATGTCTTTACGACAATGACCCCTGATGAGATCTTGAATTACGCCTTTTCTACAAGCATTTCTGACACAACGGCCGTCGTTTTGCAGAATACAAATTATTCAACAGCCCTAAGTGTCACTATCGCTGTAGGATGTTCACTTCTTGTTCTAAATGTCCTCGTATTTGCTGGTGTATTTTATCAGAGAGACAGGTATAAGATTGAGGGTAAACTCCAGAGGAGGAATTACAAGGTCTGTGTAAAATGTTGCAGTTGCTAAAAAGAGATTTGTATTAGAATTTAAGCTTCTATATTTGTGTTGGTGTTATATTTAAACAAGATAAATCGTCAAGATAAACTCGCAACAGATCTTTCAACACAAACAAAATTATATACAAGTAATGAAATAGTTCCTGTTTTCTTCACGAGAGTTGTTTCACTGCTGGAAGTCGACACATTACCTCCCACATTTACTAATTCAAAAACAAGCAGAATAAAGAAGCAAATCATTTGTAAGTTGTCAAGATGGAAGAAAGCTATTGAAGAGATACTGTTATTACCGTATTTTCAACAAATATCTATAAAAAAGAGGTAATCCTCAATAGCCGCGGCACTGGAAATTATTTTAGGCAGGATTAGAGTAAATTAATCTATGAGACTTTTCCCCCCCTTTTTATTAGCTATATTTTTGTTTGCCAGAAATACCAAGCGTGGGGCACGTGTATACCTGATTCGATTTTGTTACTAATCTCTAACAGCCTATCCTCAAATTGAAATTCTTTTTGGCAGGATTAGAGTAAATTAATCTACGAGACTTTGGGCATGGTTAAATACCTCATTCGAAAGGGTTTGACCTTCTAAGTCCAAAACAGTAATTAGATCTCAAATCGGTCAAGAGATGACGGAACTATGAGCTAAAAGTTTGTACTTGAAAAAACAACAAAAAACTAAGATCCATTCTATGAGCCACTATGCCGCGACTAAAAACCTGAAACCAAAGGTCTTTTCATTTCTTTTCCAATTAACACTGGAACTCTAAACATTGATGATACCGTAATCTTCATATTGATAGTAATAAAAAATTAATATCTCAAATTGATATACTTTATTGTTATTTTATATTAATGAGTCTTCAATAAGTCGTTATTATTTTTTCAACCTATCATAGCTGAAGAACCTCAATCCAAATCATTTTCGTCTAAGTGGACTGTACCTCTTAGCTCTGTAGTTTATCACAGTACTTTTTCAAGTTGCTTATACAGACTTGATGATAAAAACTTATCACGACGGAGGGAAATAGTTATATTATGTTAGACAGAAAGCAGTTATAATACCTTTAAAATATTAGTTTCCATCCAATTTTTCTGTCAAACCAATTCCATCCTTCTGTGTAGTTTGTTAAACGTACCTCCCCATTATGCTTGTATAATGTATTAGTGTAAAGGTCGCTAGCAGTAACATTTCAAAGTATTTATGAAATCCACGTCTTCTGATTTATTTATTCAATCTATGTACAATTTTTACACGTTAATACATTTTCCTTGCAACTAGTTTCACAATAGACAATTATTTAACCCGTTAAAGTTAATGAGCACGATTTATAATATGTAATATAATTTTTAGAATTAAAGATAAATACACATACACACATGATTTAATGATTCGAAATACATAAATGTTCTGAATAAAAGTACCTTTTTTAACTTCAAGAAATGTTTCACAAACACAATTATTTACATATTTAGTTTCTTGTTAATGAGCTTCAAATATGTTTGTATTTTACTCAGTTAAGAATATAAAAATAAAACAAACTGCATTAATATCCTAAATAAGACAAATATTATTTTAAAGTACGCTAAATTTAACATAATTGCAGTAACCCTGAGAAACAGCCTTTATTCTATAAAAACATTAACTTGAGTAATCATTCATATGTCAAATGTGGAGTCCAGTTTTTGATTTTTTAACATCTGTTTTTCCATCCTGCAAAATCCCTGACAAATAAATCTTGTAACTGAACTTAGTTTAACACGCTAGCGTATACGATTTTATATTTTTCCTCATCCATCCTGTTACTAGCCAATAGGAGTAAAGAAACGGACAGAATAACACATTGCTGAAACCTTCTGAATAAAATAAATGTAATGTTTTATTGTTACAGCAGGATTTGTAGGTGTTTTTTTAAAGTTATTTTTCTGTTGTGACAAACTATTAGGAGAAATGTTTGAACAAAGGAACCCCAAAATAATTAGCTCCCCTTCTCTCCACTGAATGACTGTTAGTAGGCAGCCTATGGTTTGCATATTGAAACATCTACTTTAATCCCCCCCACCACACACACACTTAATGACTATAAGTACACAGCTTATCGTTTGAATATTGAACCAGCTACTTTAATCCCCCCCACCACACACACACTTAATGACTATAAGTACACAGCTTATGCTTTGCATATTGAAACATTTACTTTAATCCCTCCACACACACCGAATGAATATTAGTTGACATGTTAAAAAGTTATAAATTGCACAACTAAGAACATCATAAATGACATAACTATAACAAATAAGTACATTTTAATTTGTGAAACTGAGGACTTTTGCGTAGAAATTTTGTGGCTAAATAAAGTTAAACAAACGACGACCAGATTTAGCATTTCATTATACATTGCTTTAGAAAAATCTTTGCTTATTTCGCTTCGTTATACCGAATGTCAGTACCATGAAACCAAGCAAGATTAAGGATATATTACTTGACAGAAGCACAGTTAAAATGTTTAATATTTCTGTTTTATTATTTTAGGTAAAAACTCCAAATCAACACCTGGAAATTCCACAAAGACAAAAAGAGACGACACGAGAAACCCCGACTGTTCCTGGCACTCCTAAAAATGGTCACTCCCCGACTGTTCCTGGCACTCCTAAAAATGGTCACTCCCCGACTAAGTTCTCAATTCAGGTTCATCATAAAGAGAGGCCAACTCCAGAGGTTCATTTTTTAATGCATCGTGACGGACGCATGGTTTCCACTCCTCCCAGACCTAAAAAGCAGGAGAAGAAGCTGTAATTATCTACCATATTTTGAATATATTATGTGTATTCCAAAAAAAGTAAACTTCTTGAATATATTATGTGTATTCCTAAGAAAAAGTAAACTAAGTTTACAATTATGCCCTCTCAGTGGGATGGGACTTTAAACTATCTCCCGTTGAATAGGCTAACGATTTCACATAACTGTGGGGATATCTGAGAGTAACAGTGTCACCGTAATTTTACTTGCTGGTAGGGAATCCTGGGGGTAACCTTCATCTAACTCATCTTAGAGGAACTGCTAATATGAAAATAATATATGAAATATTATTTTTTTAATAATAAAAACCAGAGTACTTCGTTCTTGAAATGAGTGATTGTCTTATTTTTTAATTGCTAGCAAGTAAAAATATCTTTTAGTATCACGTACACGAGCATAATAAGTACATTATGCTGCTAAGTGATTAAAGAAAGAATAAATAGCTGCCACCTCCTTTTATGTAAATATATATATATATATATATATATTCCTAAATTACTAATATTTTCATAGCAGAACCCACGCTGAAATATTTACTAAGCCTAACTTGAAAGTTTCATAGCAAAGTGTGTTTATTTATTCTCCGTTTACTTAGTATGGATCGTATCCACATAAGAAAAGATAGAGAGTTCATCCTATAAGTTTATTTATTTAATACTCCATACAGTTACATATACGTCCAATAAAAATACATTCCACTCCAGAAAGAAATATATTAAAAGATTTTTTTCTGTCACAACAACGAACTTAAATTTCATGACCACTTTTAATTTTAATTTAAATAAGTCCAGCTGTTTCATGCTTCGTAAATAATCAGCCATTTACCGAATCAAGGTAATACTAATTTATTGGTGGTTCAGAGAATTCTACTAAAAATTAAACAAACTTTTTTACTTTATTTGTATTTACAAGGGAAACAAAAGTCTTAACAGGTGCACGAGACATGGCGCGCGCTCTTTGTGTGTGTGTGTAGAAGACGCGAGGTTTATAGGATTAAGGTTTCTTTTGATATATCTGTATATACGTTATTTAGAAGAGTTACAATTCAACAATAACAGTGAGAGTAAATAAACCTTCAAACACTGTAAAATAAATAATGTTAAAGAGAGAACAAATTAACAAAGAGACAATTTTGATAGTGTGGTGTAGATTCAGGCAAAGTTTAAAAAATACTTTTACTGCTGATTTAACAAAGCTGCGAGGTTCTTTGTAGGAATATCAATGCCACTCGAATACTAGGTGCTAAGAAAAGTTTAAACATAGTTTTTGTTGACGTTTAGAAGTTGTTTGTAGGTAAACAACGCCACTCGAATACCAGGCTTTTAAGAAAAGTTTAAACATAGTTTTTATTGCTGTTGAGAGATTGTTTGTAGAAAAAGCAACGCCACACGAACACTGAACTGTTAAGAAAAATTTAAACATGGTTTAGGCTGATATTGAGAGGTTGTTTGTAAGGAAAGCAGCGCCACTCAATTACTAGAATGTTAAGAAAAGTTTAAACATGGTTTTCACTGCTGTTGAGAGATCGTTTGTAAGAAAAGCAACGCCACTCAATTACTAGAATGTTAAGAAAAGTTTAAACATAGTTTTTATTGTTGTTGAGAGGTTGTTTTAGGAAAGGTAACGCCACTCGAATAGTGAATTACTAGGTATATGAAACAAGCTACTACTATTGTACGAAAAGTGCATTCAGCGACTACTGTCCACATTTATGAACAAAAACTAATTATACATGGTTTATATATAGAGAGAGTTGTGCGTTTAATGCTATCTCGAATTAAGTAGCTTTTGTTTTTGTTTTTTGTTAAGCACAAAGCTACACAAAGGGGTATCTGTGCTCTGACCTCCACGGGTATCGAAACCCGGTTTCTAGCATTGCAAGTCCGCAGACATACCGCTCTGCTACTGGGGAGCAAATTAAGAAACATTTCTAGATTAGGTGATAAATACGTATCCCGAATTATTTGTTTTGTTTGAAGTTAAACACAAAGCTACACAATAGGCTATCTGTGTTCTGCCCACCACGGGCATCGAAACCCGGTTTCTAGCGTTGTAAGTCCGCAGACATACCGCTGTGCCACTGGGAGCATCCCGAATTAAGTAGCATTTCTGGCTTAGGCGATAAACACCTATCCAGAATTAGGTAGCATTTCTAGATTAGGTGATAAATATCTATGCCGAATTAAGTAGCATTTCTAGATTAGGTGATAAACAGCTATCCCGAATTAAGTAGCATTTCTAGATTAGGTGATAAACAGCTATCCCGAATTAAGTAGCATTTCTAGATTAGGTGATAAACAGCTATCCCGAATTAAGTAGCATTTCTAGATTAGGTGATAAATACCTATCCCAAATTAAGCAGCATTTCTAGATTAGGTGATAAATACTTATCCTTTATATATATAAAAGCAACCATGTGGTTGTTATTCCTAACTCTTAGACGATTGTAAACTCAATGCACGAGCACATTCAAATACACTGACAAAAGTTCAACATGATTATGGTCAGAAAAAAAGTTATTAATTAATCATTTCATAGAAAAAAGCCAATCATCTACTTGTATTACTTTCAATTTGTGAGTTATGTTTAAAATGTTTACTAGAAATATAAATTATTGACTTATCATGTCAAAATATTATACACAACTAACTAGATATACTGTGAACAATTCTCACGTAGAATATAGAGTGTAACACCTTTTAAAAATCTCTCGTATGAACAAGAACAAACTGTAGCACCTGGACAAATGCCTATAGATCAATAATATGTAAGGCACTAGCCACGCATGACAAGGTGGTTAGGGCACTCGATTCGCAATCTGGGGATCGCGGGTTCGAATTCCCGTCATACCAAAATATGCTCACCCGGTGTCCGAACTAGGACGTAAGTCCTACTCCCGGATACTAACCTCCAACAGAATTTGGAGGTGTGAGAAACACCATACGAAACTACTATATGTAAGGCACTGAAAGTTTCATGTGGAGAAAAAAGTCTTTAGTATTTGACATATCCTCGAAGGGCAACGATTGAAATTATTTTGCAGAACAATGATCTGTAACTCTTTGAAAATTTCACTTGCAATAACGAAATATAGTCTCCTGATAAAACGTTAACTCTCTAACACTTTGATGGCACCACGAGGGCAACAAACACGAAAACGTTAAAACTTCACGTGAGCAAGATTCGTAACACTTCAAATGTCTCTTGTGAGGCAAGAAGCTGATACAAATTAATTAATTAATAAACACGTGCGAGTGAGCCCCTGAAAGCCTCACCCTTAAGAACATACTGAAAGGAACGGTAACATGTTACATGTGTCACTTGATACAGATAAGCTGTTGAAGATCTTACCCTGAAGAACAAACTGTAATGTACTGAAAATCTCCAGTTGAAGAACTCTCCAAATAAACTTTTACCTGAATCATCGAGTTGTATAACTTTGAAAGTCATACATCATCCTTCAAATTAGGGAACATTTTAAAATTAAACACTTATAAACACTTTTCAAACACCAGTTTGATGTATTTGTGAAGAAAAAAAAAACAGTACAGAATTTCTGAAAAATATATAGCTGTCTCACACCCTGAGTATATATAAGGCGATTAAAATATTAAGTCTTTCTGGAAAATCTTGGAAATTTCTGTTTTGAAACAAATTTCCCTATTATTACATTAATTAACTAGAATTAAAATTACTTAATTAAAATTAAAATTACCGAATCAAAATTATTTTTATCTCTGCATTATAATTTTTATTTAATATCTGTTACTTAAATATTCACATTTATATGTATTATTGGATTTTATTTCTTGTTTCTTTTTATAAATATTCACTTTTCCTGTTCGTGTATCTTTAAATGTGTTATCATAAATTTCCCAGGTATCCTGGAGATCCCTTCTTGTACAAACACATATTTTTCTAACCTGTTCTTGTTTCAAACTACTCTTTCTTTCTTATCCCTTACTGGGCCCGACATGGCCAGGTGATTCTGAGGGTCGTGGGTTCGAATTCCCGTCCCACCAAACATGCTCGCCCTTTCAGCCGTGAGGGCGTTATTATGTGACGGTCAATCCCACTATTCGTTAGTAAATGAGTAGCCCAAGAGTTGGCGGTGGGTGG